TGGGTAAATACCCAGAAGAGGAATTGTTGGATCAAATGGTAGTTCTATTTCTAGATCTTTGAGAAACCTCCATATTGTTCTCCACAATGGCTTTAACAATTTGCATTCCAGCCAACAGTGTGGAAGAGTTCTACTTTCACCACAACCCCAACACTACACACTTTTTGTGTTTTTAATCTTCACTATTCTGACAGGGGATAAGTGGTATCTCATTTATCTGGTTTCTTTTTTCTTCTTCTTTATCAGTCTAGCTAATGGTGTGTCAATCTTGTTAAACTTTTCAAAGAACTAGCTTTTTCTTTCATTTATTTTCTGTATAGTTTATTTTCTATTTCATTTATTTGTGCTCGAATCTTTACTTTTTTTTTTTTTTGCCAGGCATTTTTGGTGTTTTTGCTGTCTTTTTCACTTCTCTGAGGCATGATATTAGGTTGTCTTTTGCCACCTTTCCATCTTTTTCTTATGTGCCATGAATTGCTATGAATTTTCCTCTTAGAACTGCATTTGTGGTGTCTCATACATTATGGAAACTCATGTACTCGTTATCATTTGTTTCCATAATTTTTTTAATTTTAGACTTAATTTCTTTGGTAGTTAAGAAGTCATTCTGAAGTAGGTTGTTTAGTTTTCATGTGTTTATGTATTTGCAAGGATTTTTCTTGAAATTAATATCAAGTTTCTATGCCTTTGAGTCTGTAAAGGCTTGATTTGTGTCCTATCGTATGGTCAATTTTTGAAAAGGTTCCATGCTAAGGTGAGAAAAATGTATATTTTGTGGTCTTAGGGTGGAAAGTTCTATAGATGTCTATCAAGCCCATTTTATTTATAGTATCATTTGGGTCCTATATCTCTCTGCTTATTTTTTGTCTAGAAGATCTGCCTAAAGGAAATAATGGGGTGTTGAGATCCCCAACAATTATAGTGTTGCAACCTATCTCTATTAGCTCTAGCAGTCTTTCCTTCATGTATGTAGGTGCTCCTGAGATGAGTGCATAGTTTTAAGTGTTACGTCTTCTTGATGAATTAGTCCATTTACCAGTATATAATGTGCTTCTTTGTCTTGTATAGTTTTTGTCTTAAAATCTATTTTGTCTGAAATCATTATCACAACTCCAGCCCTTTCTTGATTTCTGTTTGCATGGAATATTCTTTTCCAGTCCTTCACTTTTAGTCTATTTAAGTCTTTATCCATAAAGTGTGCTTCTTGTAGGCAACAGATAGAGAATTTCTGGGGTTTTGTTTGTTTGTTTGTTTTTTAATCCATTCAGCCAGTCTGTGTCTCTTGATTGGAGTATTTAATCCATTAATGTTCAATGTTATTGATATTTCCGAACATATTCCTATCATTAAGTGAGCCATTTTCTTGGTGATTTTGTTCTCTTATTTCTGTCTGTCTGACTTTTTAGTTTTCCTGGTATAGTACTCCCTTCAGAAATTCTTGAAGAGCTTGTCTGGGGTTGGTAAATTCTTTCGGGTTTTGTTTATCCAAGAATGCATTTATCTATTTTTCCAATAAGAAGGATAATCTCGCTGGATATAGTATTCTTGGTTGAAATTATTTTTCACTTAACACTTGGACTATATTTCCCGATTCTTTCCTTGCCTGCATTGTTTCTGATGAGAGGTCTGATGTTAGACTGATGAGATAACCTTTATAAGTAACTTGATATTTTCTTCTTGCCAATTTTAGTATCTTATCTTTGTGGTTTTGGCCAATCTGGCTATGATGTGCCTTGGAGAGAATCTTCTTGGGTTGATTCTGCTGGAGTCCTGTGTTTTCTTGGGTCTGGATATTTGAATGCCTCTCTAGTTTGGCAAGTTTTCTTCTAAGATTTCATGAAATAAATTATCTATGCCCTTATGATTTTCTTCCTCTTCTGGGACACCAGTTATCTGGATATTTGGGCACTTGATGGTATCTAGTATTTCTCATATATTACCCTCATTTTTCTTTTTTTTCCCCTCAGTCTTTTTGATAATTTTTCTAAGTCAGAGGTTTTGTCTTCTGCATTCAAGATTCAATTTTCTGTGTGCTCTAATCTACTTTTAATACTTTTCAGGGAGGCTTTAATTTTCTGTATAACATTCTTCATCCCTAAGAATTCTGTTTGATTTTTTCTTTTATGGTATCTATTTCTTCTTTCAAATCATGAAAGGACTTCCTCATCTCTTGGAGCTCACTGTCACTTTTCTCTTGCATCTCATTTAGTGTGGTCACTATAAATATTCTGAATTGTTTATCCGACATTTCCATGATTCCCATTGTGTTGTCTATGGGTGATGAGGAATTGATGTTTTCCCTTGGGGGAGAGACATTTTGATGGTTGCTCATATTTCTTGTGCCTCTGAGATGGTTTCTAGACATCTGGTGATCTTCTTAAATTATTCAAGGTATCTCCAAGCATTCAAAGGCATGCAGGAGAAGGCAATTGGCAATCTCTTTTCTGCAGCGCCTCTCTATTGCTCACCAGCAGTGTTGTCACTGGTCCTGGGTGAACCAAAATCCTCTCTATTTCTAGAGAACAGCCTGAAACTGAACAGCCAAGCTTCAACTCAGTAACAAAGATGAGATCACACAGTGTGCATTATGCACCATGTGCTATACAAAAACACCAAAATCCTGAGAGTTCAAAGGTGAATGGGGGAGGGGATAAGCCATGGGTCCTAATCTTTAAGCCTTCCAGCTACAGGCAGCCTGTTGTCAGGCAAGGCCCTTTGCTGAAACAGCTGTCTGGATGATCCATACCTTTGCCCTCTGACATTAAAAAATTCCTGTAGAGGGCCAGCCAGTAGCATGATGGTTAAGGTAGCTAGATCTCACATGGCCAACTGCATGGTTCAAATCCCAAATCTAATAGCTTGATAAAGCAAGTCAAGTGGATGTGCGTATGTGCCAAAAATCTTAAGAGGAAAATGGAGAAGAAGGAATTGCAATGTGGCATCCCTCCAAGCAGGTGATTTCTCAGCCTCTCTCTCTTTCTCTAATGAGCACATATGCTCTACAGGATTTTTTTTTAAATCCTACAGTAAAGAAAATAAAAATTTAGTTTCTCCATATACAGAAAGGCCATGGGTTGTTACAAATAATGAGAGCTGCCCCCGATAGTCATTACTCAGAATTAGACCCACACCAAACTAACATTTCCTTTATTATCACTGTCTAGAAAAGGAAATTTTGTAAACTTCAGTACTTTGAACTTTAGATACTTTTTCCAATTTAATGCTTATTATCGATGCTAGAGAGATGAATTATACAGTTTTACTTTCAGAATTGCATCTACAGAATATGAAATATGACAGGAATATCTTGGATCCATATATTCTTTCAATTTTTGAAGAACTTTCACTTAACTTATCTGTATTTTCAGAAAGCAGTGATCCACCTTGGGCAAAATGCATCCAGGTCTCCAGAAATTGAACTGAAGTATTATATAGCAAACCCAATGAGGCAGAATTAATGAGTAATGCTGCAAAAAGTATGGGCTAGGTATACAAAACACAAGCAACAACTTAGCAAAACCTAATAAGCATATTTAATATTATACAGAAAACTAATCAAGAAACTCAATCAGAAATGTATTCTAATTATGCCAGAACATTTCAGAACAAAATCAGAGATGTAGTTTCTCTTCTTATGTGGCTTTTTTCCCAAAATTATCTCAAGGTCCAAGAGGGCTGCTGGAGTTTCTGCCATTATATCCATATCCTGATAACAGGAACAAAGAAAGAAGAAATCAGAGCACACCCCTCCTTTTGGAAGCACTTTCTGTAAGTTGCACATCACTTCCATCTTCATCCCCTTAACCAAACTTGGTCCATAGCTAACTTCTCCACAAGAACAGTTGGGAAACAGTCTTTTTTCTAAACACCCTCCCACTCAGCTGAAAATTATAGCTTCTTTTACCAAGGAAAAGGAGGAGAACAGAGACTGGGTAATATTTGTCATTTAATAGAAATACTGAGGACAAATATGTCTAGCAGTACTATCTCTACCAGTAAAGAAAGTAAGTGGTAATAGCAGTATTATCACAGAGATCACACTAAATCCTATATGATTTATAAAGTGGAAAATCATTCATGATTTAGGTACTTTAATCATTATTAATATCAAATTACTTGCAAAAAACAATAGATCACAATATATCAAAGTGCCAGGGCATCACGAGTACATTGACCCACAGTGATAGCAATTAACTGACAGCATAACTATCATAGGTTTACTGGCACTGAGGACTTTATAAGGGAAAATGAACAAGTCGCAGTCACATAAATATTATGGATAATGTCCCGGGTCTAATATATAATTATGATATGAAATTATAAAAGATGGATTACAGTTATCAAAAATACAAAAGCCCTCATTTTAGATGATCACTTGACTGACCAGTTCAAAACATAGCATAGCCAGAATGTGTTTTAACAAGTAAATTATGTGACATCCTTCTAAATAAGGACTTTATGATGTTTTATATCATATACTCCTCTAGGGAAAAAAAAAACACTCAAAACTGGTATGCTTCTATTGGTTAGTTAGATATGAAAGAGAAAAAAGAAAATTAGAAGAAATATACATAAGAAAGAAAAAAGGCTAAACTATATAAGTGAGATAACTGCTATCATTTTTCTTTGCTATTACCCTGACAATAAATGTTTCTATGGAAGCTCCTGATTTATGGTCCTTTCAGGCAGTCACTGCTGAACAAAGCCACATTGATTTCCCAGGATCCAAGGTGGGGTAGTTCAAGGCCACTAACAATCACAACTCACACTTCTATTGGTTGATATCTATGAATTGAACCTGAACCAGACCAAATTTATGAATGGGACTGATGTTGGCCTATCTGTCTTATCATGGACAAATAGAAACCTTTACCTTAACAGTAAGTCATACACATGAGCATACCCTGGACTTCTGACCCATGCCTGTGCTGGATCTCTGGTTTGCAGATCTTAAGACTCTCTTTGAAGATTATGCACCAATAAAATATATTAATCTTTGATGTAGCCAAACCTTTAACTGCTAAGAACAATGTTATCACACCAAGAAGACTAATTTAAAGGAGTTAGATAGAAAAGTTCAATGCATTCATTCCTGGGTTTTCCTTAGGTTAGTGTCATTAATAAAATGGAATGGGACGAAATACTTAAGAGACATAAGAATGTAAAGTTCTCTGTTGAAATGACACATACAGGTAATAACCTTGATTTGTGGGTCATGTACTGCATGAATACTTTTAAAAAACCATATTGTGTGCTATAGAGATGTACGTCAATTAAATGTGAATATGAAATCATTTTTAAAAATTCCTTTATGAACTGTTTCCTCATTCACAAAACATTAATAGGTAAATATGTAAATTAGGGACATAGAAAAGAGTAGATGAAAACTCAGGGCTAATAGACATACATTCCTCTATGTATAAAGAGCATAAAGAGGAAGAACCTGCTGGTGGTGCAGTGGCAATGCAAATGCACGCACATGAGAAAGGTCCTGGGTTTGCAGGACCTGGGCACACTGGGCACACACACGTACGCCCACCACCAGGCCAGCTGAGTCTCAGGGTGGATCACTGCACGAGGGCCCTGTTGGGGGTACATGTCTCTCTCTTTCTCTCTCATGAAGGAAATAAACTTCTAAAGAAAATTAAAAAATACTAAAGATAAACAAACTAAAAATTTTAATAAATATCTGGTAAAGAGGAATAAAAATCTTACATCTAAGAGATGATAAAGAAAAGATTTTTTTTTTGAGAGAGAGAGAGAGTTTTGCTATAGGGCACATGAGCTCGACAGAGAGACAGAGAGAAATAGGGAGACAGAAAGCAAGAGATCATCTCCCCACACACAGGGGGAGGATGGCCATGCCACAATCCCTTCTCCTCCATTCTCCTCTCAAGATTTTGGACATGCACACATATGCAATTGGCATGAGTTTCAAGCTACCAGTTCCAGTACTCAAACCATGGTCAACCAGGTGGGAGTCCATTGCCATAACCACCATGCCACCTGCTGGCCCCAAGAAAGGAATTGAAAAAGTATAGAAGAAGGGGCTAGCAGGTGATGTGGTGGTTGAGGTGCTGGGCTTCTACATGGCTGACTGTGGTTCAAATCCCAAACCTGATGGCTTGCTTTCTCACTTTCCCTTTCTCTCTCTTGGTATCTCTCTGGTCAAATTTTAAAAATAATAATAATAACAAAACAAAATTAAATAAATAAATAAATCTTATAAAAACATTGAAGAAACAAAGAAAATTTAAGGTCTTAACAGTACAGATGAGACATATTATTTAAAAGTTTTGTGGAGGAAGGGGCATGAGCTGAGTTTCGAAGGACATGTCAGAGATGACAGAGAGAACAGCATATATGAAGACAGAAAGATATAAGAGAATGAGCCAGCCCCATAGCCTAGTGGTTAAGGGAGCCAGATCCCACGATGGCTTGAAAACCATGCTGGGGACATGTGTATGCATAACCCAAATCCCAACATCCCAACAGGATGAAGAAATAGAGGAGAAGGAACTGTGGCATGACCACACCTGGAGGAGTCTGACCCGGTAGGGCCCCAGCATCTCTTTTGAGCTTTTGACCTTTACCTCTTAGGTCGGGCCAGCACGTTGGCAAAAGCTGCTGCTGTGTGTCCCCCGACCTAGGAATAAGACTTAGGTCGAATTAGCAGGTCAGCAAGGCTGCTTGCTATTTGCTCCAGAAAACTGTGGTAGCCTTGCTGGGAAGCGACCCCCACTCTGACTCCCTGATATACTATAAAAAATTACATAGCTCTCTTTTTTTTTTTTTTTTTTTTTTTTTTTTTTTTTTTTTTTTTTTGGGGGTTTTTCTTTATAGCGGCGGCGCCCCCCC